AGGTCAGTCTGACCCGCGCAGTGATGTTTGAATAGTTTATGGCATTTCTTATGAACCATTAGTTTACAATTCATACATTTAAACCCCTGTCGTCCTAAACCCCATATTCGGTCCGAACAATAGGCACAAAACGCTCGCTGTTTAGAAATAAATTAATTGTTCAGTGAATAGAAATTATACAACAAATAAATTTCCGGTATACCGTACATACCGGTGTTTATACTTTTACATTCACGGCAGTAGATAAAAACAGCAAAAAACTATAAAACTATACTGAATATTCGCATTGGCAAGTATTGAACACTATAAGCAGGGCGTATATTTGAGATGTTGCATTCTTTATAAACATGTCTCTTATAAATTTTCAATCATTCATAACTTTTATAATTCTAATTTAAACTATTTTAAAACTCGAGATCTTATTGAAATTTAATAGCAAATAAGTTGATGAGAAACAGAAATACTTTACATACAGTAGAATATATTTTCAAATTGAAAGCAATGTTATGAGAGAATCGCATAAAGATTGTAACACAAATCGGTGCAACCGTTTTAATACAGCAGTAGTTATGTTATAACGGAATTGCTAAGGATTTGCTAACAAATGTTTCATCATTTAAAGCAAACAAAATATTTATCAGTTATTTGCGATAATTTTCATAAAACCAGTAAAATATGAAATAAGGTTAACGAGAATTATGTGCGACAACTCACTCGATTGAATCGTTTGGCCTGAAATATATGTCCGTTAAGTCTATAATGTTTTCTCCATCTTCGGGCCCCTCTTCGGTATATACTCTCTATCGTAGGAAACAATAGATTAGAAAATGGCTACAAATTAAACAATAAATAAATACTAACTGTCTTCCCCAGGACAGGGAAGTCCCGGCACTTGTGGCACACTTGCAAACACTACAACATCAATATGAATATGAATTGATAGTCCAATAATTAGTGAGACAAACATACCATGAATTGTGATTTCGGAATCTTTATTCACTTCATATAAACGAATTGCTTCTTCGAGTTCTGCCTGCGATGAGATGACACAGGGATCGCCTGAAAGCACATCCAATCATTAGTTTAGATCTAATTTGTTACTAT